TTCCAGAAAGCTCCAGGCCCTGGAGTCCTGTGATAAGACAACATTTGCTTTCCCTAGATCTAGTTTTAGAGCTCATAGTGAGTTACAATGTCCAGTTTTCTCAAGTGTATCTTCTGGCTGCAAATTCCAGGAGAAAATTAAAATGAACCCAAATATATTTAAAACCAAAGACCATTGATCATTATCTAAAAGGGTTTTTAATCAATACACGGGATGACCACTCTGCACTGACCTGAAGACCTGGCTGCAAGTAAAGCTCAGGGCAAGGAAGAAAGCATGCTTCTGGGCAGCTGCTGGCCAAATGGGCTGGGAAGGAAGGAGGAGGACAGCATCTTCCTCATGTTCTCCTCCCAACCCTTGATTGTTCTTTCCAGGTACAAGGAGGACCCTGCACTCACTCCAGTGTGAACACAAAGGAAGGCAGGAGTGAGAAGAGACAGAAGAGTTCCTCGAGACTTACAGGGCCAGCTGCTACACCATCCCTGTGCTACTCCAGCTCCTACTAATGCTGGTACATTACAAGCCTTACAGTGCCTTTGTTCTCCTCTTTCCATTTCATGGGCTTTTGGTTCACACAGCTTCTATGATGGAGTGAAGGGGAATCAGCAGCCCCAGCTCCCCTCCTCGTTGGAAATGCTTTGAAACTTTCAAAGAACCCAACTCTTTCCCCACATCCCTGTGTTAATATGCACCGACTCTGCTCTTGATGCACTCCATTGTAAATGATGTATGAAATGAAATCTCCTCGCTCGCCTAATGCAGAGAAGAAAGGCTCTTGTAGGCAATGCTACCACATCCCCATCCAAAGAAAAAGGCAGCGAAACCTCAGCCTCCCTATGAACAGGGCTTTTTTAAAGTTGTTGCTCTTCAGTGTTGGTGTTTCTCCCTTTTATTTCTTGCCTGAGAGCAGGGATTTGAATTCAGATTTCACAGAGAAACCCAAGCCACTTACATGTATTTCTGAGCCTTTTGCAGCAACTGTGTGACTGTTCCCATCCCCTCGTCAGAGGGAATAGCAGCGGTAAACTCATTAGACCAGCAAAGCGGCAGTGAAAAGAGTGGCTTAAAACTTGCAGGAGGGAAGAGGCTGGGTGCTTGGGGGAATGGCAGCGGGTGTGAAGCTTGATCTGGATTTGAGACCTCCTTCCAGTTCTATATGGAGCTGTTTCAAAACCAGAACGTGTCAGCAGTCTCCAAAGGGAAAAGGGATCAACATGGATGGGGAGCTATCGCGGCAGCAAAGCCTGAAAGTCAGCAGTATAAAGCAGCAAATACACCATGGGCTGTTTCTAAGGGGCTGGCCCAGATGATGTATTAGTTGAGGGCAAAGGGAAAGTCACTGGAAGGGAGAGTGAAGAAGGTGAACGAGACCTTGCAGGAGGCACAGAGAGGGTATCTCTGCTGGTAAATAGTCATGTTCTGCTTGTGAAGCCCAAGATGGAGCAGCCTCAGCAGCTCCTGCATCAGTGGGACCCGTGTGTCCTGTGTGTGCACTCCCAGCTCACCCCTGTTTCCTGTGGAGCACCCCATAGCTGCCCTGCTTTGACCAGGCTGAGGACAGGCAGGGTTAGAGCTTCTCTTCAGTGTGTCAGCCCAGACCGGTGCAGTCAGAAAGCTGGTCCCTGCTCTCCCCACATCCCCAACAGATACCTCATCCTCTCCAGTTTGACACTGATGCTATAGAGACCATCAGGCAAAGCTTTGCAAGAATAACAGATTAATGAGCTGTGCTGTGTGAAACCAGAAATAAAGATCCACCTCTTAGGCCAGCTGACGGTCCATATACTGATGGACTTGTTTGATTTCCTCTGGCAAAAGTAACATACCCCGGCACTGACTGCCTTTGTCAGTGACAGAAACCCCATCTTTTGGGCTGACACACATTTGGCCTGTGTTCCCAATGCTGCTCTTGCATGATGGGCCCTGAGCTCTCTTTCCCTTGGCCATGCAGTGCCTCCTGCACACTGCCACCACAGCACTGCTGCCACAGGCAGTAAACTCAGCTTAGACCTTATAAAGCTTTAGTAAACTTCTAGGGATGACGCTTTTACAGCTGACAGATGAGCCACCTTGATGGATTAGTAGACACCATTAGCCGCCTTTGCTAGACTTCATGTTACTAATGAGTTTTAGGGGCTTTGCTTTCATTTTTCTTCCCCTTCTGTTTGTTCTGAGCAGCAACTTTCAGAATGACAGAACAAAATGCTTCAGGGCAGCAGCTGGAGCTTGAAATTCATAATAAAAAGAAGTAGTTGAGCTGATGTTTGGTTGCACAGTCACGCTAGCAGGATGTGTGTGTTTCATATGACCACAGTACTCACAACATGCTTCGCATCCCCATTTCCAAGGAGCTGCTGCTGAACTGGCACATCAGCGCTGCCATAGGTGAGCAGAAAAGGGTCCCAGGGCTGGAAACAGCCAAGAGTTCAACAGCAGGTTTCCCTGGGCACTGGAACTGGTGACAAATAGGAGCTACTCCATAGCAATGAGGTCCCTTTTGCCTGGCTTCGTGCTGACCCTGCGCTGCCATTCACATCACCCTGCACATCACTGTGCTGCTCACTGCAGGGACATTGCATCCACCAGCCCCCCAGAAACCCAGCTTTATCAGCATGGCACAGACAATCTGCTGCACCTGTAATAAATCCTTTTTAGGTATAGGAAGGTAAAAAATCTATGTCAAAGTCTTTAAAATATAAATCTCAAAAGCCCTAAACCCTGTGGATAAGGAAGCAGTTCTGGCATGGGTTCAGCTGCAGCTGACCTCCTTCCTCTCCCTTATTCATGAAGTTAACAGCAAAAATATCCATGTTTATCTGCGAATGGCACCATTATTTCATAAAGCCGCTTTATTTCCCTTTCTGTCTGTGTCAGAAAAATTCCCTAACATAAACTGAACATTTACTGCAGGCAGATTTTCTTCTCATTGTTCAAGGATAAGATGTGAATGGGAGCTGCAGGAGGGCAGCTATTCTCTAGCTTTATAAAGTGAAAACGATATTCTGAAGACGATCAAAACCAGTAGCAAGTATTCAGCCACTTCCATGATGTGTCACATTATTTTGGCTGCAGAGAGGTGACAGCAACACAGCACATCAGCCCTTGTGAGCAAAACGCGATGCAACAGTTTTTAATCAAACTGTGCTCAGGGAACAGAAACCAGAGGAAAGCAAAGCAAGTAATAAGAGTGATTCTCAGGCAGGTTTACTTGAGCTGTGATTAATAATAATAACAATAATAATGCCTCGTATTCCCAGACTTTGTCTTCTCCTCTATTACTTTTGAAGCAGTGCCATCTTATAAAAAACAACCCTATTATTATTCCCTTCCTATGACTTAGACAGGGACAAATCCAACAACTGAATAGCAAGGGTGCGCCTAGCTGGATGGCTGCATCATGTAACGCTAGGGAAAACTGAACCCCTCTGGAGGTGCTCTGCAGCCTGCTTCTGGTTACCCTTTCGTGAATACATCAAAACAAACACATACAGGAGTTAAACCTCCAGGAAAACACACACGGCGTTTCCTGGCTTGTAAATTCCTCCTTTTGGGGCATGGACGTATTCATGACGTAGCCATCCTTCCTCCTGTTTGGTACCACAGGTGGTAGCTCAAGCAGGATAACACTGCTGGAATGAACATTTCAGAAGGCTCATCCTGGAAGCTGTTAACTGCATAGTAGCTGCTCTGTTGGAAGGGAGTTTGCTGCTTGAGGGATACTGATTGACAGGGCAGGTTAGTGCAAGGTGGTCAGGGGATGCTGGTTGTGCTGCTCTCCAAGATAGGGCACAGCACTGAGGAGCCCATCCCTATGCTGATGGTGTGCTCTGTCCCCATGACCCAAGAATCATAGAGGCAGAGCTTTCCTGCTCACGGTTGTTTCTTGCCACTGGGAACCTGCTATTTTCAGCCCAGAAGCGCAAAGCCAAGCAGAGCAGGTTAACCCAGCTCTGCACTAACCCAGCAGAATGCTGGAGTGACGCTGAATAAATCACAAGCGAGGTATGGATCAGCACCCAGACAGGCAGGAGGCAAGTCACTGCAGTTGCAGAGACAGACCCAAAGAGCTGGCTTTATAAACAGAGCTTCAGGGGCTGTTCATGTCACACAAGCCTGAAAGGATGCTGCCGTGGAGAGCAACCATTTTAAGCTCATAAAATTCATGCAAACAAAGCTGACGAGGACCATAGGAGTTCAAGCAGAGCACTTGAACACTCCCTGCCCACAAGTCACCACTGTCATCTGGGGGGGGACACACACATTTCTGCGGAAGGAGCAGGTTGATGCAGAGCATCCCTTGCTCAGGGTGGGTACCGCACGATGCCATCCCTGCACACACCAGGCATCCCCCACGCAGGTGGCACTGCCACCAACCTCATGTCGGGCACATCAGGTCGGATTGAGCCCATGGGGTACAGTCCAATTATAGAGAAAACCTCAGAGAGGGTTTAGAGCTGGAGAGGGGCACACAACAACTTCACGTGCAGTTGCTCGACCAAGCCCATCAGCTTTGCAAACCCCATTCATGCTAATAATAATCATTAATCAGTTATTTAAAGTCATTCACGTGAAAAGCTATGAGCTTTTTTCTTTTTTTGGAGCTAGTATAAATCAACCTTATAGGCAAAAGAATAAATACAGGGAGACAGCTGTACAGATCACACTGTCACACCAATCACTGCTTAAAAGCACACACTGTAAATAGCAGACAAAATTCACCCCCAGTGGAATGCCATTGACTGCACAGGCTGGAGCTGCTGCAGGGATAAATTGGCCTATCAAAAATACATAAAAATTCAGAAATGGAATTGAGTGACGTGCGGGAGTGATTTATCACAGCTCTGCCACTTAACGTGACGTTATCACTAGCGAACCCACTAAATATTATGGGCTCTGTTAGGATTCCTAAGGGGCCAAACAACAAAGGAGGCGGCAGCGGTTGGATGAGGCAGGAGGGGATGCACACGCCAATCCAACGGCCAGGGCCAACAGCTACTCACCTGGTCCTGAGCTGAGCCTAGACACAGATGTGTGCTATGGGGTGTCAGCCCTCAACAGCACTGGCTGCACATGGTCACGCATGTTCCCGGCACACAGGAGCACACGGCATCACCACCAGACCCAGCAGTGTCTTGTCTCACAAGTGGGAGATTAGAGTCCATCGAAACACAGTGCTTCGGGAGCCCACTGTGTTCATCTGATTTCTGTTGTAGCATCCCAGCTCCGTAACACCAGGGCTGTAGCGTTGCTCTGGCTGGTTTTCCATCTTCAGCATCTTCAGCTTGAGAAATGAACCTTGCAGAGAGTGGGAGGGAGAGGAGATATCTCTTTTTGTGACTCTCATGGTGTTACCATCATCTCAGACCTTAAGAAAATCATCAGGCTGCTCCATCAGCAGTGGGAGCCGAGCATGCGGTGGTGTCTGAACAGCTGAGTATGGTGTTTAGATACAGTAGGAGTCGTTAAGCTCGGTGCATGGGCTCATCAGGGAGTGCTGTACAGACATTGTGTATCACAGTATGTATTTAATGACAATAATCATGTTTTCATGGAGATGGGCTGAGGAATTCTGCCTTAGTGTGGAAGAGTCCAAACTCAGCAGTTCTGCTCAGGGACCTGGACTCAGGCAGATGTACAGCTCAGGATGGCTTCAGCGATGGTCCAGCCTTGCCAGTGCATCCTGGCCAAGGCAGAGCACAGCAGAGGGCTGGGGATGCAGAGCCAGGCTGCTGGAATAAAAGAACAAGCCACTCTTTTCTCTTGGAAGGAAAAAAAATCCACCACAACTTGCTAAATTGCCTTACCGGGATTTGATTATTGCGGATACCGGGCAAGGCAGTGCCAGTCACAGATCATTTGTGGGAAGCAATTTTAATAGGGTTATCAATATAAATAAATAGAGGGTTTTTTTCCCCAGTGTGCTTCCACGCCTGTGTTGAAAGGCTCTTTTCATTACTCTCACAATAGCTGCTGATCATGTTCTCCCATTCTCTCACACAGCGTCCGTGGCCGTAGCACATGGAGGCACTGACTTCTGGCTGCACACACCGTGTTCTGGTCCAGCAGCTTTGCAATTTCCATCTTCTTATTCTTCTTTTAAGTTGTTAAAGACAGGAGCACAAACAGAAATGCTGCCCCTTCAGAGACGCTGATGGGGAGATGTACCACAGTGTGGGGATGGGTACCCCGTGTCCTCCCCAGGGGACAGTCAGGGACCCCAGGCACGGCTGCTGGCATATAAATGGGCCACATCCAGCCCAGGCAGCCACTGAGCCTTTCCTTGATGTGGTCACAGGCTTTCACCTCCAGGAGATGGGGCAGGAGGAGCTGTTTCTTGTAATCGAAGTGCCACGATGCATTAGTCTGGAGATGCAAAAGAACAACAACTGCATCTTAAACCATGATAGTTAATTTATTATTGCAGAACTGAAAGGCAAAGTGTGAGATGGGTTTTTTTTTCCCCACCCTGGATAGATTGTTATAAAACAGATACATTAATTTGATTTTCCCCCCACCCACAGCTATAAAACCAGAAAGTTCTCAGTAGGCTCGAGGAGAGAACTGTGGGTGTCATGATGACTTATGCCCTTGAAAAACTTCACCAAGTATTTCTAGCAGGAGCTGCTAACAAACCAAATCTTATTACTCCTTAACAGTGCAATAAGCAACAGTTTGGGATTTTATCCCTTTCTTACTCAAAAATCCCAAAGCATTTTCCATGCATCTAGCAGGCCTTGTAGGCAAGAGCTTTTAACCCCATGCGGCTGAAGGATGCACCGAGGTAACAGAACTTGGTGCAACTTAAATACGTGAACAGGCAGCAAGCAAGAAAACAAGTTTTCCTCCCAGCAGTCGCCTAACCCACAAGAGGCTTTTTGCTTTGAAACAGAGCCACGCAGAGCGTTATTTGTTTTTACATCTCTCCTCTTCCCTCCTGACCACACCTTATTCCTGATGGATAGAAACAAAAACACCACAGAAATGGCCAATTTCTTGGGAGAAGCACAGAGAATGTGAATTGCTTCTCAGCTGTTTCTGTTTCAAATCCCTGAGGACAGTGCCTGTACATGGCTTGCACGCCCATGCCTGCTGCCTGGGTCTGATGTCCCACCATCATAGTAGGTCCTGTGCTTCCCCTTGGGTCCTGATGTGGTTTGGGTGCTCTCTGTATAGCCTAACTGCTGGCTTGGATGTGGAGGGGAGTTGTGCCTGCTCCCGAAGAGCTGGGGGCTGTGTTTCCACAGTGAAGGTGCTCATAAGGAGCTGCTCAGCCTCTGGCCATCCTACCTGCACTGCCTTCCCTCGGCACTCAAATAACTGCAGCCCAGACCACATCAGGGCAGTCACCTCCTCTTAATATGAGCTTCTGGACAGCACTGCAACAGAACTAAAAGAATTAAAAGAAACAGAACTAAAAGAATTAAAAGAAACAGAACTAAAAGAACTGAAAGAAACCACAAAACTAAAAGAGGGTAGCTTGAGGCTGGATATAATGAAGAAATTTCTTATGCTGAGGGTGGTGAGACACTGGCACGTTGCCCCAGAGAGGTGGTACATGCCCCATGCCTGGAAACATTCCAGGTCAGTTTGGATGGGGCTCTCAGGAACCTGGTCTCATTGAAGATGTCCCTGCTTACGGCAGGGTGATGAGACTAGGTGAGCTGTAAGGGCCCCTTCCAACCCAAACCATTTTATGATAAAATCTGGATGTGTTATTTCTTTCATGATGAGATTCTGTCTTTCCAGAACCCAGGTATATCCATCCAGCTCCTGCATGGCAGACAACCACAACCCGTTAGCATCCAGAGATGCTCTGAAATGTTATTGAATCGTTTCCATGCCCAGTGGATTATGCTACTAATCAAATCTGACATATGACTAGCCGGAGTACCTGGGCCTTATTCACAGCTGGAAAAGTCACCTGGCTCGGATTCAAAAACAGCTTAATCAAGAGGTGGCCCTTAGATTAAAGACAAGGTATTTTTCCAGGTTTTGATTATTGGGTGTAGGTAACAGGAAACTGAAAGATGCTGATAATCTGTGCAGCTACATGAAGAAAATAAAAGTTATCACGCATCACTGGAGGGTTTGGGATAAGAGTTGGCCCTTGGACTACATTTCAAAATCAGATGCTGAATCTTGAAGAATTCAGCCAGATATAAAAGGTGATAACATGGAAACTGAATCAGAGGCTCTTTTGTGGAGCTCTGTAATCTTGACCCTGCCTCTGTTGTGCCCATCAGGCTGTATCTTACAGCATCACTTGGCTGCTAAAAACTGGCTGTAAATTGGACACAGTGTGAGAAGCAAATACAGCAACTTTGTCCATAATGGAAGTTTTCCCAGCATTAAGACGCAAATAGCTTCAGAAAAGGACAATTTGGGTTCTGTAGCCATTGTCATTTTATAGGACTGCGGCAAAACAACTGCAGAACCCAAAGCGACACGTTTCCCGCTTCTCTCAATGTGGTTAGAGTTCAGCAGAAAATGGGATACTAAATTAAAGAGAGCTATCACAGGCTGATCTTCCGTGCTCAGATATATAGTTATACACAAGTATACCACCATGCATAACCACAGCTACATCCCCACAGCCCCTATGTGCACAGCGAGCCACTTTCCTGCAGAAGAAGAATATTTGGGATGCTCTGCTGTGACATTTATTGACGAAAGTCCCAGGGGAATTGCACCTATTCTTTTTTGGTATTACCCGTGTAATGCAAGATATAAAATTCTCAGTAGATGTTCTAAGTTTGTATTTAATAGACCTGGAGGCTCTGAGTGCCTTTTCACAGATTGCGTTCCAGCTGTCTGCCGATATTTGAATGTGCAGGTCTTGGTCCCATGCTGTGCAAACAGGCAGCATCCCACACATTTTGTGTACCAGGAGTAATTTATGAGTCTATCTATAAAGGAAATAACAGTGCGTTAAGAAGGGGTTATGTAAAGCTCTGAGATTGAGAAGTAGCTCAGTTAACTCAGTACAACTTCCCAACATCACCGTTATGTTTCAGCTGATTTACAAATACAGGAGGCCTTCAGCTAGTGATTCATATACCTTCTGAAGCAGGCAGGGAGGAGGGGGGGAAGTATAATAACTGTCTCTGCATAAATCTCATGTCACTAAAAGGCTCCTACCTTGAAACCTCATATTCATTAACCATCTTTTGCAAATACAAGTGTCTGAATTGAACTGCAAGTCCCAAGACACTGTGGGATATTCTGGTACCAACCAAATAGAGGGGAAAATAAAATGAGAGGCACTGCCATTTATTTTCAATCTCATGCCACAGGGATTTCTTCCAAATTGCCATTTAATGCAGATTCTACAGGCAATGCATTGGAATCTGCAGAATAAAAACCCACATGGAGCACCCAGCACCCCTGTCAGGAGCAATGGCAGAGCAGTGCGGCTGCACTGGGGGCATCCTGCCTGCCCCCCATGTTGAAGGGAATGCTCCAACACCACACACAGTGATCCAGGCTCTGCTGGATCAAAATAAACCCATTGATTTGCAGCAATCATTTTGCTTTCCCCAAGAGGAAACCAGCCTCTAGATATCAGTGACTCTTGTTTTGAAGACCTGTCTGCAAACCATTTCAGTCCTGCTTTGCAAAGGCAGCTAGCAGGTAATGGGGTCTGAACAACAAAACCTTCCCTAATTACAGAGCAGGTTGCATTTAGCAGCCTCACATCACTCCTCAATTGCAAACAAGCCACAAAATGCAGAAGTCACAAGCCACTCAGCCTAACAAGTGCAGCATTATTTATTTAATGTCCCTTAGACCATGAATATTTAAAGTAGAAAATGACCTCTAAACAGAACAAAGTTATCAAAATCCATATGTGCCACCTCTTCACCCAGAGGGCAAGCTGAGTTTGCTGCTCGGCTCTGGTCAAAGGGGACCAGAGCGGAGGCTTCATCCTTCATCTCAGTAGCTGGTAACCCAGCCATCCTCGTCGTGGCACTGACCTACAAAACATCTTTCTACAGATCTGCCTATAAACCATTGGTGTTGGGCACCAGTTTGTATCTACTTACAGGTGATAAAGAAAGTGGGAGGAAGCAGTGTCTGGCACTGGCCGGATGCCCCACGCTTGATGCTGTTGCTCAGGTATGTCCCCAGCATGCTGCAGAAGAGGTGGCAGCATCTGAAATTCCACTGGAGCAGCTTGCTCCAAGCCCCTGTGTCCAACCTGCCCTTGAACACTGCCAGGGATGGGGCAGCCACAGCTTCTCTGGGCACCCTGTGCCAGCGCCTCAATACCCTCACGGGGAAGAGCTTCTGCCTAAGAGCTCGTCTCTTATCTACCCTGCTTTCTCCCTGCTTTACCCCAATCTAGTGTCAGCATCAAACATTTCTACTCTCATTAAATATTCTATTCATTTCTGGTTTTTTTTTCCTTAAATCTCTTCTCTCCCAGTTTTCTTGAGGCTGCCACTAACATCTTATGCACCCCTTTTTGGAGGCATTTCTATACAAAAGAATCTGAGGGACAAAGATCCAAGAAAACAATTCTTCCCCAAACCCACCAATGGGAATGGCATTTTTATTGCATTTCTCAGCCAACAGCATTGCTGCTCTTCAGGGATTTCCTAGTGGCTTTGGGGGTATCTCCGAGACCTGTTGTGGGGAGAGCCCTGGAGCACTGTCACCACCACCTGCATGGGGTTGTGCCATGTCAGACAAATGGATCCACATGGATCAGGCTCATCTGGAAATTAGGGATAAAAATGTTTTGCTACCTTGCATGCCCATTACAGGAGATCTTCATTAGCACTGGGAAGCAATCAGGACCTCCATGTGATGAGTGCCATATAAAGCTGTCCGTGCGATGCATCCATCACTCAGCCAGGCAGCCTGAGCTGAGTCCTCCCCTCTTGCCTCCTGTCACACAAGCAAGACAGCCTGAATATAAAAGCCAAGGAACTGTCTGACATTTTCTCTGGTGTTTTAGCCACTGGGACTCAAGCTTTGCCAACTGTTTGCACCTAATGTTGCAACCAGCACATTTCAGCTTCAGCTTGTGAGATTTCTGGCATTTCGCTTGAAAAGATGCTGCGTTCCTAAAAAAAGCTCTTTTTGCAATGGAAGCTTCTCACAAAAAAGTGATTCACACCCGTTTTTCACCAAAGTGTGCTGAAAGCAGGGGAAAAAAGAGCCAAGGAGGAAGCAGCAAGCAAGCAGTGCTGGAAAGCTCCGCAGGGAGATGAGACCCTGGCTGGTGCGCAGCGGTATGATAGTGTGATTTGCTTTGGTACCTGCTTTGTAGAGCTGGGGCCTTCTCGAGTTTCTCCATCTGGCCAAGAAGAGGAAGAGCTGAAATAATCATCACCAAAGCTGCAAGGCTTGCAACTAAATCTTCCCCTCTGTGAGGTGAATCCATCGCTGTTTGGTGCAGGGATGCTTGCGCCACCCAACAGAGTGGCTGGAGCAGGACCAGGTTGGGCTCTGAGATGGCTCCATTCTGGGCTCACCGGTTTCCAACATCTCCTCCAGGAAAAAAAGCACTTTCCAAATGTGTTTTCACCTCAATGACTGGAATCCCAGCTCTGCAAAGCTGCTGGCTTCAGCAAGCAGCCCCTGCCCTGCTCCTCACACTGACAGCTCAGGGTAGAAAGCAGCTTCCTGGGTGCAGTCTGCCACCAGGCCAGCCTGAAAGATGGAAATCAAAGAGGATGAGAAGTAGATTCATTATAGACTAATTAATCCAGCAACAGACTCCTGGACAAAGGTTGATGACATTCACTTCAGGATAATTTTGCAATAAATATGAGGATTTACAGAAGTAAAAAAGCAGTTGGGAAGAGATTATTTTTTGAAGCATAAATGTAGCTCATTTCTAGACCCCCTCCTCCACATATCAATTAATGAAGCAAATCATCTGTCTGAATCAAAGATGTGGGAGAAAACCACAGTTATCTATTTGAACTACAAAAAAATTAAAGGATTTAAAATGAAACATGTAATTAGCCTGTAGGACTCTCTGCTGCAGGTTATTGAGGCAAAGAGAAAACCTTCCCAACTTTCAGAAAAGGACTCGACAGCTACAAGAATAGCTTTTGCTGCTCTACAAAAGAGGGGGAAGCGCTCATCTTCTACAGACAGGCAGGTCCAGCCAGAGCCATAGGGTTTGTAGTTCGGCCCCTACCCAGGCTCCAGCCGTTATCCCATTTTGCTCTGTTTTGTGTTCTTTTCTTGGGTTTAATTTTGCTATTGTTTTCATCTACTTACACGTGCAGGAGCATCTCACTGCCCACTCGCAGCAGGAGCTGCCTTTCCCTGGACCATAAGGGAAATTAGGAGAGCGCAAACATCAGCGAACAAAACCCCTCATATGTCGGGTCCTGCATTGATGCTCTCCAGTGATTGTAAGCGCTGAACCTCCATCAAAGATGCTGGCTCTGCGTCCCCTGATATCAGGCAATCAACAGATAGCAACAACACAATACCCGACATATGAGGGGTTTCATTCACTGGTGTTTGTGCTCCTCTGATTGAAGGCAGGCGAGCAGCACTACACATGGCTATTTTCATCAGCCCCTGGTGCTGCAGGACACATAGCTGATGAACACCAGCTGGCAGAGGGAGGACGTGTTCCCACCAATTAGCTGTATGATGATGCTCTGCAATCTCCTCTGAAGCATCTGGCGCGGGCCACTGGCAGCCCGGGCTACGGGAGGAATCGGTGCTCTGTTGCACTGTGGCAATGCTCACGTTATTAAAGTTTAGATGAAATGAGGAGTTCAATGTCAAATCTACAAGCCCAGCCAAAGGCTCGGCAGATGCTGCATATATAAACTCATACAGGGGTTAACATCGCTCTGGACAAGGCTGACATTAGCTTTCATAGATGCAGCACAAGAACATCCCTTAGCAGGAATCTTTTTTCCCAGAGATTACCACTGCATTAACATGAAATACCTGTGGGTCACATCTGAAAATCCCTCTTTATCATAGCTATGTATTTGCAAATGCAAGAGACCCCAGGCAGTACAGGCACCGCTTATCTTTCACCGACATCTATGCCTAACCTTAAGCATGTTTTGTTGCCCCTTCTTGCATCAGTGCAGAAGCCAGTGCAAAATGCCATTGTAGGGAGCTGGAAGGGTTTTCATGCACTCTTGTACTGCTGAAAACACCCACCCAAAGCAGAGAGAAAACTCCCGCTTGGTGCCTGCTGGTCTTACAGTGCCCAAAGGGGCTGCAGGAAACCTGGAGAGGGGCTTGGGACAAGGGATGTAGGGACAGGCCAAGGGGAATGGCTTTAACCTGCCCGAGGGGAGACTGAGATGAGCTCTTAGGCAGAAGCTCTTCCCTGTGAGGGTGCTGAGGCGCTGGCACAGGGTGCCCAGAGAAGCTGTGGCTGCCCCATCCCTGGCAGTGTTCAAGGGCAGGTTGGACACAGGGGCTTGGAGCAAGCTGCTCTAGTGGAAGGGGTCCCTGCCCGTGGCAGGGGTTGGAGCTGGAGGAGCTTTGAGGTCCCTTCCAACCCAAACCAGTCTGGGATCTATGAAGCAGGCAGGTCAGCATAATCCCGTCGCCCCCAAGTAAATGACCCCCTGACATCTCCATGAGGTAGAGAGCAGAGGTTTCACCAGCTCAGTTAACGATTCACAAGCCACTTGATCACGATCTTAAAACAAAAAAAAAGGTGAACAGAAAACGATTCCCTCACAAATAAGATCACTTTGACTAAGTCACTTGCTTCTCTTCAGAGGAGATACGAGGTTTTTCTCTCTTCCTCTGCAATCTGGCTCCCTTTTGAAGTTAAAAGAAAGGAAGGTTCAGGGGCTTTTTTAGTTAAGAAGAAAAAAAAAAGCCCTTCTCCTCTTTGAAAATGTTTTTTCTTAGACAATTGCTGTCTCAAATTTTAACAAATACTCACTAATTTGCACCTTGTTCAAAAGCCAAATGGTAAGTTTGATTTTTTTCTCCCCTCTACTGAATGTTACTCTGCCTTTCTTTGTCTTAGTGGCAGAAGAGAGAGTCTTAAAGGAATCAAACTACCAGCTCCATTCCAAATTTCCACAATTTGTTATGTAATTTCTTAAAAGGAGCCATAAGGCCACTTGAAGGGGAAAAAAAAGGAAGAAAAATCTTTTAAAAAGAAGAAAGAAAATAGATTTTTTTTTCACCCATCTTCTTATAGATGAAGTAGAAGAGACTAAAAAAGGCGTTTCATTTGAAACGCTGTATTCAAGCCCGAGGAAAATAGCTGACAAGGTGTCCCTGCTAGGAGATTCATTTGCAGAGACCAGGCAGAAGGAAACCAAGAGACTTGCTTCAAGGACAAAGAGAAAGGAAGTTTTGAAAGAGATGAGCTCAATTTAAAGCATCCTTTTTGGTTTTGGGGTGCATTTTTGAGGTGCATGAGAAGGGAAGCAGGGTTCGTTTTCCTGAGAGGAGGATGCGGGTTCTGCATGGTTTGGGTACAGTGGGTGTGGTGAGTGATGGGCAGGATGGGGAGCAGGCAGGGAAGAGCTGTGTGTGTGTCTCCCTGCACACTGCCTTGTAAATAGGGGAGGCTGCAATGACGGAGCAGTGCTTTAGGAACCAGGTACTCGGGGCTGCTCAGGCTGTTCTGCGTTGCTCCAGCAACAAGCAGCTCATCGGAGCGGCCAGAGAGATTTCCCCTGTGCGAACAGCACCACCAGGATTCACTGCCATGGGTGAAGGGGGGAGCCAAAACTGGGGAGCAGAGAGGGCTGGCACCTCAGTCCTGTTGCACGTGAGGGTTTGGAGCAGCCCCAGCACTCAGGAACATGCATCTCCTTACAAGCAGGAGGAGCAGCCCTCCTGCTTACCCAGGACCAGGGCATGAGTCAGTCCTCTAGGCAGCTTAATGCATAAGGCTCTCTCTCTCTTGCCATGCACATGCATACACATAGGCACCAGCATGTGCCATTCATCCATATGCATACCCACAAGGGAAGCATAATGAAATGCTTCCAGCCTGTCCTTTCCCAGCAGGAGCAGATCCTCCCGGGGTGCTCATGATGGAGTACATGCACCAGCTCCCCCGTGCCATCACCCAAACCATGCCGATGGGCACACCGCATTCATCCTTTCCAGTCTCCTCCACTCCAAGGTGGGCTGATAGTACCCTCATGCCCAAACCTTGTCCAGCTCCTCACTGCTCCACAGCTGGAGAGAAGCCAAAGGCTGCTGTGTGCATGATGAGCTTTGCTCGGGGCTGTGAGGAGGCTTCAAAACAGAGAGGAGAGATGAGGGCAGCAAGAAAACAATGTGAAAGCAAGAGGTTATAAAGCTAAAGGTGGTTCTAGGGAAGACAGGCTGGCTTTTACACCAGGCATTGGAGCTAGGGAGAAAAAACAGCCTCCGGCTTGTTGTTATTTACTAGTATGTGCTGCGGTGGGTGTGTTTGCACATCTCTGATCAGCTGAACAGTTTGTATGTAGCCCTGGAAGAATGGCAAATTAACCCAGGATTCTGGTGCTGGAGACGTTTTGTACTGAAAAGATGCTTTTGGTGGCAGACTCACAGATTCCCTCCTGGATCGCACATTTGCATCCAGGATGTTTTCTCTCCAATATAAAGCCAGTGAAAACAAAACCAAACCAAACAGCCAAACACCCTTTCCAACAAAAATAAATGGAGCTGAAGCATCAAAACATATCTGTGCACTGCTGCTATTTGCTTATGAAATCTAAAAACAAAAGTCAAAGCTGTCAATAGAACTTTTGGGTCTTTTCAACTCAGAACACAACTTCCTTTACAAGCTTCCTCCTAGTTTTTAAAGTGCTTTCAGGTGAAAACCAAAGCAGAATTAACCCAAATGGCATTTTCCTCTTTTCATTTCTCTTTTCATTGCAAATCCCCGCTGAGGCTGTCCCCGCTGTCTCTCCAGGGAACTGAGGACACGGATGCTCTGCAGCTCTGCTCAAGGACACAGAGCCAAGCCCAGTGAGCTTTCATGGCCCCCTTCCTGCCTACACCACATCACCTGAAATCAGACCCTGAGAAACCATCGTGGTATGGTCAGTATTGGAGCCACCCTGCCCCTAGCCATGTGGTGAGCCTGTTTCCTTCCCGTGTTGAAGAAGACTGAGTGCGTTTTTAACCAGCATGTCTTAAACTGCATCTTCTTGGTGTAAAGCAGCCACCACCACCAAGCCAAGCAGCAGGAACACATGCACCTGGTCCAGTCCTTCCATGAACAACTCAATAATGCCATGCAAATGAAAAGTATTCTGCATTAATATAGCTTCGCCACGGTGCTGTTACGGACACAAATGAGCTCGCACTGCATGAGGGAGCAGGCTTCAACTGCATCTTGCTTCATTAGCAGCCACCCCATCCCTCATGCACTCTTTCAAGGTGCACTACAAAGCCTCAGATGTGTGAGGGGGACAGGGATGGGGTGAGCAGGGCAGAGCATCGTTTCAGGGACCTGTTTCTGCTCCTTCAAGGTGCACGGCAGGGTCATCGCTGTGTGCTCTTTTCTCCCTCTATTCTTTCCCTGCTTGGTTCTCACAG